ATAAACTAGAACAATCCCCAAGGGCCTGATAACATTCCACAGCTCGGCAGGCTCCTCTCCCTTAGAATGGGTGTTCTCCAAGAGGAAGCAGACAATATACAGCCTCTGTGAGGAAATACATGTCTGTTATTTGAGTCACCCAGTCTGTAGTACTTTGTTAAGGAAGCCTAGGCACATGAATGCCATAGGTATCAGGGAACCTACTAACTGTACAAGTCTGCCTCAAGCTTAAGAATAAGAGAAGAGAATCCCTGTGCACTGTTGGTGGGACCGCAAATTGCTGCAGCCACTATAAAAAACAGTATGGAGATTCCTCAAAAAACTAAAAATTGAGATTATAAAAGGACAGAGTACATGATTAATAAATTGTAACAGTTCTTATTAGCTTGAACTACATGAAATGGCTGATACTTGATTATTTTTGTTCTATCAAATGGCAATTCCCTATGGCTTAGTGTAAAGAATGTTGGAGAGAGGCGGCATGCGCCATGGTTAAGAATATAAGCTCTAGGACCCAGATGTTTAAGCTAAAGTCCCACCTCTGTCACTCACCAGCAAGTTACGGAACTTCTCTAATTCAGTTTCGTAGCTGCAAAATAGAATGCCTACTCTATAGGATGAATGACAAGATTAAATAAATTAATCCAGGCAAAACTCTTAGATTAACAACTGATTCTCAGTCTTCAATGAATGTAATCGGCTATTGCTATTATTAATAATTAAATGAAGAAAGTACATTTAAATATCTCTGAAATTAATTGCAATACCTAATTCTACGCTGTTTTGATAAAAGAGAAATAAACAGTGGCTATTTAAATGTACAAAACAAAGAGGCTAAACGTTAAGTGCTAAAACATTGTGGAATCGAGACTTATTTAAATAAAAATGTCTCATAACACCTTAATGGTTTGTTTGAATCAAGTCCAAAACAACTGGAATGCTAAAAATATGTGATCTTAGGAATAAGTCAATATTCTTTTTAACTTCTTAAACTGCTAAACATCTTTAAATATTTCATATAGGAGAAAAGCTAGAGGTCTATTAAGTACAGAGTTTAATATGTTCTTGTGTAGATTCATTGAGTTCATTATTAACATTATTAACAATATTTAGGGCTAAATATTGGGCTGACGGGGTCAACAGACCAGAATGATTTGTTACCACAAACCCACAAATTCAGGGAGTGATAGGGCCCAAACCACTTCAACCTCATTTTTGTTTTTTGGTAAAATGTAGAAGAAATCTGAGCAAAGCCATCAAAGCTCTCTTCCAAATCTATAATTCTACAGTCTCTATCATAACCAGACTAAGAATATAATGATTACATCAAAGTAATATAACCCATTTTGTCTGTCAATAAATAGGAAGTAAATTGTTTTTAAATAGCAGAATATTAAAAAGAAAAAGCAACAAAAAACACACTTAGTCAAAAATATCTTATATTGAAACCACGGTATTTTGTGCAATAAAAGGAAAAAGTTCATGGTCAGTCCTTTTCTGAAATTGACAGGAGTCATACCTGCCTTCTCAGCAAAAGCAAAGCTGCCTAGGCCAGCAGTGAAACCAACATGGACTTGAAATCCTAGGTCCCTCGGGCAAGAGACTCCAATCTCTCACATTAAGAAGCTTACATAACATCAGTCTTCTTTCTCTGAAATATGTTCATTATAATAGAACTCTCAGGACTCTTGAGAGGGTAGTTAATGTTTCTAAACAATTTAAAGGATAATGATTGACCAAAGAAAGATCATCACTGTGAAATCAGGAAAAAAAAAAAAAAAAAAAAACCCACCCTCGATGCTTACAACATTCTTCTAATTACCACAGGTATCTCAGTAAGAGTTTAAAACAAAAACAAAAACTTCATGACCATCTAGCAGATCTAAAATATTAATTGTAAGACAGTAAAAAACAATTCTCATCATGGCATCAGAAGAATAACTGGGTTAAAACTGAAGTCCATACACATATGTTAGTTTCGGGAGAAAGATATAAAACCAAGACATTGAATCTGCTACCATAAGACTCCTTCTCTTCCCAAATTAAAATGTTTATATCAATTAAATTATACTCTTTAACCATTAAAATACCAGAAATACAACTCAAATAAGTGGACACAAATATGAAGGATTTTATAGATGGTATTCTCAAATTGCTCTGACATTTCAAAAAACTTAAGAAATTAAATTTTTCAGAGTTGGTCACAAAACATGAGTACTTTTCACTAAAGTACAAGAAACTACATTTTCTATTCTTTGAAAATAAATAAAAACAGATTTTTTTTTCTTTTCTTTTTTAACATCAGTGTGTGGTTGCCTTTTGAGCACCCCCTGCTGGAGACCTGGCCCCTAACCCAGGCATGTGCCTGACTGGGTGACTCTTTGGTTCACAGGCTGGCACTCAGTCCACTGAGTCACACCAGCCAGGGCCAGATTTTATCTTAAGTAATTAATCAAGTCCTCTATCTAAAAAGTAATGTTGTGGTAACACTACTTTTAATAAATAAAAATTAATAAATTTAATTTTTTTAAAGTTGTTATGGGAAGATAGAGTAAGTTGTTGGTTGGTTGATTGGTTGGTTTGGATGTTGTACTGGCTTCCCTCAAAAGACCTTTTATCCCCCGTGTATAATTTTAAGACTCCAGTAGTCACAGCATGGCCTAATGAGACATCTTCTAGGATGTACACAGTCTGATTAGCACATTATCTCAGGCATAAAGCAGCCCTAACCGTGTTGCCTCCAAGTCTGGATCAGATCAGTCCGGGAAAAAACAATCATAATGAAAACTGCTAAGACATACCAATCCTAACATTATGCTATCCCCTGTCATTTAAGATCTTCTTTTCCCTGTCAGTCCTTATGCAATTTTTTAAATATTTAATTTTGGTATGAGAACAGTCACCTAGCATACTAGTGATAAAAATGAATACTTCAGAGTTCTGAAAATTAAATAGCTTTACCTTTATTCTCAAAGGCTCCCACAATCAGATTAGAGAAAAGTCAGAGATATTTTTACAGTTACCTGCCAATAATTGGAGTCCACAACTCTCCCTTCCATATCAGTTCCTACTCTGGAGAGGGCGAGCAAGATGACTACCCATATTCTGATGTCTTTTCATTGTATGAATTGGTGGCTATTGTTTGCTTTAAACCAGAGTAAGTGGATATTCCCACTAAGGTGGGAATATCTTGCCCCAGTCTACACTCGTGCTACCCAAAATGGTGGCCACTAGCCACATGTGGCTAGCGAGCATGTAAATATGTGTGGGGCCACAGAGGAACTGAATTTTTAGTTTTATTAATTTAAAAAATTATAAATTAAAATTTAAAAGCTGATACCATTTGTTATTGGAAAAGCTTTAAATATGTTTGGAACAAGGTGAATATATGAATATACTATATCACCTATAAAACTTTATAAAATATAAACATAGGTGCCCATGAGCAAATGAGTGGATCCAAAAACTATGGTACATTTACACAGTGGAATACTATGCAGCAGAAAGAAAGAAGGAGCTCCTACCCTTTATGACAGCATGGATGAAACTGGAGAGTATTATGCTAAGTGAAATAAGCCAGGCAATGAAAGACAAAATCCATATGATCTCACCTATAAATGGAACCTAAACAATAAAACACATAAACAGGCACCATAGAATCAGAGACATGAAAATAAAGAACAAACTGACAGTTACGGGGGGGGGGGAATAACAGGACAAAGAAGATGAAGGGGCAAGTCAAAGAACATGTATAGAGGACCCATGGGCATGGACAGGGTGGGAGGGTACGATTAACTGGTGCGGGGAGAGGGCCAGGGGATGGGGAGGGGAGAGCAATGGGAAATATGTGGGACGACTCTAATTGAACAGCAATTAAAAAAAGAAAAAAATCTAAGCACAGGTCAGTATTTCTGATCAAAATTTACTGACTGAATTTTGATGTGCATAAGTATATAAAACACAAGGTATACTTCAAAAAATAGACAAAAATAATGAAAAAATGTCATTACTAATTTTTTAAAATATTGACCATATGTTGAATATTTCAATCCTTTATAATGCTTTGGATATGTTATTTTCAATAAAATGTGTTATTAAAGTTAATGTCACTGAATTTTTCTTTTTAATATACTTCTGGGAAATTTTAAATTGCTCATATTTCTTTGGGGCAGCACTAATAAAGAACAATAATACGAAACAGTGGCATAAATATATGAGACGGGCCAGTGAAGGTTTAGAAAATCTGTGTAGTGTGAGAAAAATGCAAAAGACCAGACAGCACTGCATTCAAATTCAGCTCTGACACTGACCATCCAATGGTCCCTGAGCAAGTCATTCAGCTTCCCTAGCCTGTATTCCCCCAAGTGTAAAATGGGAAGAATAGTTTCCTGGCTTCAACAAAATATTTGTCAAGTGCCCAGTGTATCATCAGTTTATATAAACCATTGACTAAATAGTTGTTTTGCAATAGAAAACAGAGATTTCAGACAGAATTCAGTAGTTATTTCTTAACTACTAAGAATTAACTGCTTCTCAATGTCAATTAATAAATACTGCATCAGACACATATATTGTGAGAAATGGCAATAAAAGGAAAGACTGCAGAAATCCTCTGGATAAGCTTATGGTCAGGCTGAAGTCTTGGTTAGTGAAAACGAAAAGCCTGCCATTAGCTCGTCCGCCTGGAGAAGCAGATCCTTCAGGGCAGTTTGCAGCTGACAAGAAGTAACCAATTTTCTCAGGCACCACCACTAGCCTGGTCTGACAGTTTGATCCACTTCACTCTAGCAGACAATATCTTCGGTTCTCAAAAGAGTAAATCATTTTAACCTGGACAAATATAAATGATAATTCAAGAAAACTTGACCACATGAGAGAATAACAAATATTTCATAGTGCACAACCTATGTTTCTTTAATGAATGGAAGAAATGACCAAAGATCGTAGCAATGTCTGCCCACATTAAATGAATTCCACCAGGTGACCCGACTTCCACTTACCCCCAACATCTGGTGGAGGTAGTGATACTGTGGCCCTTGATTATACAGCCGGAAGGATTTCCAGAAAAGCAAAACGTTCAGGGAGAGCCAGATAAGCTAAATCATACAAAAGGAGAAAACAAAAATTAACCATAAACATTACTTGATGAATGGAAACCTTAAGTACATTCCTTGGACACAATACTTTCAATGAAATTTCAATTAGTAAATGAAGGAAGCAATTTCAATTAACCAGCAAGGTGAAAACCACTCAAAGAAAAATAAACCTGACCTCACTCAGTCCCTGCACCTAAGAGTAAGCATTGGGGCTGAGAGCAGGTCCTTCTGCATGACCTGCAGACATCCCCGGCAAGGCAAAACAGGAGTAAGAAGTTAGTGACATCACCATATCCCAAGCGTTGGACATTGTTAAAATACAACATCAAGCAGAAGCAATCTAGGAAAAGAGCAAAGATGTTTAAAGGGTTAAGAACGAACAGTGTTCATTAAAGTCATCCCTTCTCCCTCCACATCCGCTCTCCCATCAGTGTGTAGGAAAGTTCTCATGCATTGGAGGAGGGGTGGGATCATTATTGTCTGCAGGTATTAACAGCGGAAAGTTTGAATAGTTGAGAATGTTCGAATTAGAGGCAAAACTTCCACGTCCAGCTTCCCACCCGCGCACGCTCAGAGAATGAATCAAAATTGCTGCACAAGAGACCCAGCGCGGGGCAGTGCGGCCCGCCGTCCTACCAGGCAGAGGTGTTTAACCCCTTCGTTGGCCAGCCAGCTCCTCCAGGACACAGCCATGCCGCCAGGCCCGCGCGCTGCGCTCGCCGCCCGCCCGAAAAGGTGCGGCGGCGGCCCAGGCGGTGGTTACAGCAGCGCCGGTGGGGGCGGGTCGGGACCGGGGAGGGGGCGGTGGTCAAAGACGGAATGGAAGCCCAGAGGCCGGCGCCGAGCCAGCCGGGCGGGGTCTGCGCCCCGGAGCCGGGTCTTCCGGGCGCGGCGGCTGCGGGCCGCGCCGGGGCTGCGCTGCCCACTGGGCGGCGGAGCGCACGCTCACCCGGCCCGGCAGCGCAGGCTGAGCGAGGCGGCACTGCCGTTCTGGTCCCTTTGTCTGGGGGCCAGTCTGCGGTGGCGGCTGCTGGTCAGGATGCGCTGGGCTGGGAAGCAGGAGGCGTCCCGTAGCCTCGCCAACTCCGAGAGACAAAGATGTGGAAATGGATACTCATACTTGTGGTGGAGACCCAGGACTCCCTTCTGTGTGTGTGTGTGTGTGTGAACGAACACACATACCTAGTTCGTCTGGATAGGTCGTCCATCCTACCCCGCAAAAAAGTTCAACTCCCGGGGACTTGGTAATGAAATTAAGACCGGAAATAGTCTGTTTCGTACTAGCGTCCCCGTCTCCCAGCCAAGCTTTCAGCCTCTCATCCCACCCCGAAACGCCCCCTTCTCAACCCGTACCTGGAGCCTTCCTCCGCCTCCCTCTTCCCAATACCCCCATTCTTATTCCGACCCACACTGATGCAAAGGTTTTAAGAAAATTCTGACTAAAGTGAACCCAGAGGATTAAGGGTTAAAGCTTACATAATTCTCAGGGGCTTTAGGAAAGCTCTCATTCACTCTATTTAGGAATTTGCATTTTACTACCTAGTGTCAGAGTCTGTTTAATAACCAGAATCCTCTCAAACCTGTATCAGAGGCCAGGTGAAGGGTGAGAAGAGTGTGGGATTCACACAAAGTACCTGCCTTACACTGCAAAATATCAGTGTTAGGAAAGAGAAAAAATGATTCATGCAGAAGAATATCTCATGAAAAGTGTCAATAAATGTTTATTAAATCGGGAACTTCCTAACATTGACAACTAACAAGTAGTGGGAAAAGTAAACAATTAGCAGTCTAATCTCATGGAATTCAAGCCCCCCCCCGCCGCTTTTTTTTAACACAATACATTTTACAACACATGCCATAATATATCATTGAAACTAATATTTCATAAAATCATACTTTCTTTACCAAATGCAATGTAGTTATATCAATTAATTTCATGAACTGATTAATAACTGATTTAATTTAAAGCTTGAATGCTCCATAGCAAATCCTAGTTATATTTCACCAAGTTATCTTTCTAATAGTCTGTCATATCTTTTTGATATATGACTTTCCTGTTTCATGCGTAATCAAATCCTGAAAACTGCCTAAAATTCTTCCTGGAGTACTCAGGGAACACATTATTTATAAATAACACCCTGTTTCACACCATGTGATACCTAAGGAGCCAGAAAAAGAGCAGAGAAACCAAGGAGTGTCACCACTGGAGAAGGTTTGGATTCTGGAACACACTGGTGCTCCTCAAATTACACCCCTTTGTAACCATGCCAGAGCCATAATCTCAATGGAGGGGAGGTGGGGAGGGTCTGAAAAGTGGTTTGGTTCTTGTCATGAGTTGAGAGGAGTGAAGCAATTGAAGAATAGTAGAATAAAACACATTGTTTTAAAAGTTCAGCTACTCTGGGCGGGGGGGGGGGGGGGGTGGAGTCTAGCTCCTACTGTGAACATAGGTGTCGGGCACTGTCCTTGTTACTTCCTACACAAAATGTCATTCAGTTCTTCCACAATAGCCACCATGTGGCTGTCAGTGCCACCACTTTAAAACAAGGAAACTGAAGCTAAAAGAGATTTAAAAACTTTCTTGAGGGGGTGGAGGAAATGGGGTGATGTTGGCCAAAGGGTACTAATTTTCAGTTATTCAGTGATAAATTCAGGAAATCTAATAGATAGCATGTTGCTTATAGTCAATGATAGTGTGTTATATACTTGAAAATTGGGAAGAAAATAGATCTTAAGTGTTCTCACCACACAAAGTGCTAACTATGTGAGGTGCCGGATGTGTTAGCTAAAGCTAGTGATGGCAATCATTTCACAGGGTGTGTGCATCAGATCAACACACAGTTACGTGCCACTTATATCTCAAATTGGAAAAATATGTTAATTAAAATAATAACATCGCAGTAAAGATGAAACATCATTAAAAAGACGCTTGCCTAAAATGTTAAAACAGTATTTGTTTAGGACTCAAACAACCCATAATCAGATGCCTTTGTGAAACCCTTTTGTATAATGAGGGAATGCTAAACAAATGTTGACTGTTATCACTATTTTCTTATAGGAGCTCTGTAAAAGGGGCCTGGGATCTGTCTGCTTCTGTTGTCTTACAAGGAAACGATACTGCTAGTTATCCCCAGGAGACAGAGCTATCGCCTCGTTGTGCAGAAACTCTCATTATTGAGTTTCTCTTCAATACAATTTTCTCTAGGCCAGATTATCTTCTTTCCCAAGATGGGAAGGTCCAGAAAGCAGTGAGGAGGGAGTTCTGTAGCTATATCAATATTCCAAAAATCATAATGAAAAAAATCACACCTTTGTTAAGAGAAGAATGCAAAAAAAAAAAATTAAACGACATACCTTTGCCATCAAAATAATGGTAAGAGAGTAGTAATCATCTGGTGCTGTTTGGCAGTTAGAAATGCTCTTGACCTACTGTTTATTGCTCAATAAACACAGAAGCTTTCTCTTTTTGTTAGACAATGTCCTCCCATACATGAAATCACTGGGGAAAAAATGATAAATGTTTGCCCCTTCTGCCTGCTTTTATTATTCTGCTCCTTTATTTGTTAACTCAGAGGCATATCTTTCTCATGAAGCTTTCCCTAACCCACCTCTCCTCCATTCTCACAAAGACTCTGTCATCTCTGCATTCTGCAACGTCTTCATACCACTTTGCACATTATTGTTATACAACAGAAAGAGCTCTTCCTACTGGAGCAGGCAGAGCCGAACACTGGGGCAAAAAGTCTGTATGCAAAACCTGACGCACTCAGGGGAGGCCTGCGTGGCAGCCTTACAAACTCAGAGACCTAAAGGAACCACATAGGATGGTCTGAAATAAAAACTTTTAACTAAAAGCCATGGCAGGTAGTTGTTGGGAACCACCCTACCTGGTTTCAGAAGCTGTAACCACCCCCCATGGCTAAGGCTGAGTGAGTGACCTTTGGACCATAAACCACTAATGAGACAAACCTTATCTCCCTGGCAGGAGCGCTGCCTCTGCTCCTGTTTCTTCACCCTGCCTGGCCCCTAGTAGTTGATCAGTTAGGCAATGACCGGTAAGATTCCCCAAAGGGGGAATGACCTAAGACAGGCACAATCATGGGGAGGCCCCAGGGAAGGACTTGGGGGCTGTAGCAAAAGGTGGTGATGGACCCTCACCCCTAGGCTTTGACAAAGTCTGAGTCCTCATTCTGTCTGCAGGAAGTCTCCTAATCTCTTGGCTGCCTTACTTCCCCTGCCTGACTAAGCCTGAAACAATGCCAGTGGTGGGTGCAGTCCTGTCCTGGAAAGGGTGGTTCCCTGGGTGGTCAGGCCTAAGAAAGAATATGTAAAATCCTGTGAAACTTGCTTTGTTTAGAATGCTCTCAGTTAAATGATAAGGGTCCAGGCAAGAAGTAAGTTTGTTCCTCAAAGTTTTATGGCTCTTTAGCTATCTGGCCCTCACTCAAAATAGGCCCTCAGAGTTCTTCATTTGTTAGCTATTGTTTGATCCTTACTGGCTGACAATGATTAATGAGCTTTATCTGTATTCTTATACAAAATGAACCCAATAAAAGCCCCCTGAGGAAAAAGCTCTTGACCCTTCTTTTTTTAGAGGTCAGCCACCTTTCCTCCCTAAGCAGATCGTGTCTTGGTAGACTTATTCTCATCCTCGGCAGCCAAGGGTGCTCTGTGGGCAGAGCCCCCCACCCCGCCCCACAGGTGGTCACATCCTAGGCTGCTCTTTTTGTCTAGCAAAGGTGAATCTTACGATAACCAAGTCTCTCATTTTTTTTGCATCTATGATAACACACCTTTGGAACGTCAAATTTCCTTTTTCTGCGCCCCTCAAAGCACAGGCACTGCACCAGGGAACTTCAAATCCCCTCGTTATTGTTATCATGTTAACTGTTGACCACTAACTATGCTGTTCCCACATGTGTAAAAGTGTCTATCATTTTACTTTTTATCCAATCCTAGAGGTCCCCTCCACTATTTAGCATCTCCCACACCCCCTATCCTATCAGCAATGGATTTCTTGTAACCCCCTTATGCCTCATCTTTTGATTTTAATGTATAAAATAAGGTGCTAAATCGCCATTCTCTGGAGCATTTCTCAATTCATTAACATTTAGCTACCCAACAATTATCAGTTTGACTCAAATAAACTCACAAATATCCACTGCAGATTTGAATGTTTCTTATGTTGACCACTGAAAACAGAGAATGGCAGTGGTAAAATACTGACTGTTTTATTATTAATGGTGCCACCCAGGAGAACTAGGTGCTCCCAAACCTAAACTCCCAGATGGATGGCCTGTAAATTACAGATTACATAAGGCGAAAACACAAGACACCATGAGCAAGAGGGCTCCAGGTCTTGCTGGGAGCTGATTAGTCAGAGATAAGGTAAAGGTAAGAATCTCATTTTCAGATCTTGAGAAAAAGTCTGAGGTTTTCTCCCAGTCCCTCTGTCCCATCTCTTGAGAAAACAGACAGAGAATCATTCTGAGACAGGATAGTGAGAAGCTAGGAAAATTCTTTGTCAGGCGGGATAGGGAAACAGACTGATTGAACACAAGGGCCACGCAATTTATCGCCAGGTTCAGCTTATCACCGGCCGGAAGGCTCCCGGTGCCTGGCAGAGGGGAAAACTGGGAAACGAGGACCTCACCCCCAGAGTAACCTCTCCTCCCCTGGCCTTTCCTCCCCGGAGATAACATCTAGGCCTCTGTTGTGTTTCAGCTCCAGGCCCAGAGAAGCAACAAAACCAGGTGGGCAACACCAGGACCAACTACAATGTTAGCCCCCTGCCCTGTCACTGTCCTATCAGTGCAGAGCATGACCCTGAAAGGGCACACCTGGAGAACTGATGAATATTTTACTGAAACCCTCCCCTGAAACCTCTCCTAAGGTTCCTGCCTGCAAGAAAGATAAAAACTCAAGACAAAGGACCCA